GAGCAGTGTCTCTTCGATTTTTTAGAAAGTAATCCTGTTAGGAGTCTGGCTCTCGAGATTCGAAGAGCGGTGTCTTTTCGATTTTTTGAGAAAGCAATCCTATTGGGAGTCTGACTCTTGAGATTCGGAGAGCAGTGTCTTTTCGATTTTTGAGAAAGTAATCATGTTAGGAGTCTGGCTCTCGAGATTCGGAGGGCGGTGCTTCTTCGATTTTTGAGCACGTAATCCTGTTGGGAGTCTGGCTCTCGAGATTCGGAGAGTGGTGCCTCTTCGATTTTTTAGCAAGCAATCTTGTTAGGAGTGTTTTCTCGAATGTGTAAAGGTTGGGCATTTTTGCCAGTCTGCCTTGCCACGGAGCACAGAGGTTGACACACATTGGGACTTTCTAGTTATTAAGCAGTGATGCTGTTCATTTACCCTTGTGGGTAATAGTATGGTAGCTGGACCTTCATAATTTATATGTCAAAACTTTGTCAGAGATCTTTGGCAAAGTGTGGTATCCGAGGAGCTGATGTTGCGTATGGAAAGTAGTGTCTTTTCGGAATCCGGAGAGTGGTGCCTCTTCTATTTTTTTAACCAATGGCCCTGTTGCCCTTTCTTTTATAAGGGCACCAATTGTGTGCAAGAATTACATTCAAAGAGTTATTTCTTGTAAGAATTTTCCCCCTTACTTCAGAGATTTATTGCACCTCATTTCTCCTTCATCATTTCTGAGAATGTTTGGCCCATCTAATCGTCGTTTTGACTTAAACTTTGGTGAAGAGGTAGCCATGCCTTCTCAAGACAACATATGACGCCCATCATTCTCATCCCCTACTGGTCCTCTTATCGTTAGGGACTTTGTGATGAAGAATGATATGACCACTGCGGTTGTGGCCAGGAACCTTCTCACTCCCAAAGATAACAGACTACTTTCCAAACGATCTGATGAGTTGGCTGTTAAGGATTCTTTGGCTCTCAGTGTTCAGTGTGCATGTTCTGTGTCTAATATGGCCCAACGCCTATTTGCTCGAACCCGCCAAGTTGAATCATTGGCGGTTGAAGTGATAAGTCTCAAATAGGAGATCAGAGGGCTAAAGCATGTGAATAAACAGTTGCACAGGCTCGCACATGACTATGCTACAAATATGAAGAGGAAGCTCGACCAGCTGCAGGAATCTGATGGTCAGATTTTACTTGATCATCAAAGGTTTGTGGGTTTGTTCCAAAGGCATTTATTACCTTCATCTTCTGAGGCTGTACCGCGTAATGAAGCTCCAAATGATCAACCTTCGGTGCCTCGTCCTTCTGGGGTTCTACCTAGTATTGAGGCTCCGAATAATCACCCTCTGATGCGTCATCTTTCTGAAGCTCTGCCAACTGCTGATACTTCTCCAGAGCAACCTTTGTGAATGCTCCATGTTGTTTGTTTATTTTGATTTATGTATATGTACATATTTGTAACTTATCGGAGATATCAATAAACAAGCTTTGCCTCATTTCAACGTATTGTATTAAATACACCAAGGCCTTCTTCACTAAGTTTTTTGAATTTTTCCTTTTGTTGAAGCTTGTATGTTGAAGCTTTATGAGTGAAGCATGTAGGTTGAGGTAGTGCTCCCTTAATTTCCCGAGTGAGGAAAACTTCTCGGTTGGAGACTTGAAAAAATTCAAGTCACTGAGTGGTTGTGAGACTTCCGAGTATCAAGGTGCAGTAGCATATGGTAGGAGTCCCCCAAGTCTCCGGTCGAGGGAATTGACGAATGAGACATTTCCTTTCTAAGTGGTAGCCTAAAACTCATTCTTCATATATATTTGTTATGAAAGTTGTTAGGCCCAAAGAAGATGAGGCCTAGGCAATTTTTTTTCGATTTTTTTTTTTTTGAATTTTTTTTGATTTTTTTTTTTTTGAATTTTTGAATTTTCGAATTTTCGAATTTCCGAAAATATATATATATATTCTAAGCGCTTTGTTAACGCTTAGTTAAGTTTGTTATGGTGAAGCTTTTTTGGTTGTGAAGCTTTTGGTAATAGGTTTTGAAGCTTTTATGGGTGAAGCTTTTTGTAGGTTGAAGCTTTTTTGTGTGGTGAATGCTTTTTGTGTGGGGAAGCTATTTGTGGATGAAGCTTTTGTTGAAGCTTTTTTGTTGGTGAAGCTTTTATGGGTGAAGCTTTTGTGGTGGGGAGCTTTGTAGGACTTTTGTGGTAAGCTTTTTAGGTGAAGCTTTTATGGGTAAAGCTTTGTGGTGGGTAAAGCTTTTATGGGTGAAGCTTTTGTAGGTGTAGCTATTGTGGGTGAAGCTTTTATAGGTAAATTTTTGGAGTTGAAGCTTTTGTTGGGTACCAAGGATTGATTTTGCTTCGCACTATCTTGATCAAGAAAGTGTGAAGCTTTTGAGAATTTATAGTTGTCCTCCATTGATGAAGTTTTTGTTGGTGAAGCTTTGGAGTTGAAACTTTTGTTGGTGAAGCTTTTATGGGTGAAGCTTTTGTTGGGTACCATGAATTGATTTTGCTTCACACTATCTTGATCAAGATAGTGTGAAACTTTTGAGAATTTGTAGTTGTCCTCCATTGATGAAGCTTTGGAGTTGAAGCTTTGGAGTTGAAGCTTTTGTTGGGTGCCATGAATTGATTTTGTTTCACACTATTCTTGATCAAATAGTTGTGGAAGCTTTTTGAGAATTTGTAGTTGTCCTCCCATTGATGAAGCTTGTGTGCTGGTAAGTTTTTGTGGTGAAGCTTTGTTAGGACCACGAATTGATTTGTTTCACACTATCTTGATCAAAGATAGTGTGAAGCTTTTGAGAATTTGTGTTGTCCTCCATTGATGAAAGCTTTGTAAGTATTAGATTCCCTTATTTTTTTTTTTTGGGGAAATAGAAAATTTGAAACATGTGAGAAGACAACATATACAAATTTTGCTTCCGCATTGTTGAGCAAGAGATTGTGATGCAAGCCACACCTTGTAGTAGTCGAAGGTTTGAATGAACCATATAAATTGAATTTGCTTTGAACTAATTGTTCTTGTAATTTGCCATAAATTATTGTCGAAGGTGTTGAGAATTTGTAGTTGCCCTCATCATTGATGAAAGTTTTTGTTGGCACCTATATTATAAATTGGTTTTGCTTCACATTGTCTTGATCAAGAGTGTTGTGAAGCTTTTGAGAATTTTGTTGGTTGATTGCACATAAATTGAGAAGCTCTTGAGTTGTGGCACGGACCTATAAATTGGTTTTGTTCACCTTCACACTGGTCTTGTCAAGAGTGTGTGAAGCTTTTGAGAATTATGGTTATATATTTGAACTCTTTTGGCAAGCATAAATTGGTTTTTGCAACCATCACACTGTCTTTTGATTGTTATTGGGCATATGTCTCTAAATTGGAATTATGGTTGCCCCCATTGATGAAGTTCTTTTGGCACCATAAAATTGGTGTCTTCAGATTAAGAGTGTGTTTTGAAATTGTGGTTGCAGTTGAAGAAGTTTTGTATAAAATGGTTTGATCTTGATCAAGAGTGTGAAACTTTTACGAGTTGTAGTGTTTGCATTGTTACAAAGGAGAAATCTCTGAAGCAATGCAAGAGGACTGAATAGCTTGATCTCATATGCATGCACTGAAGTTGTTGTTGGCTTGCAATAGACTTTGTTGGTACTATAACTCTTGTTGGGCATAAGTGCTCCCTAGTTAAGTTGTAAAACTTGAGGGTTTTTATTATTTGTGAATGCTATGAGTTCACATGTACAAGTTGTTCACCACTCGTTTTCTGGTTGGTGGAATGAATGGTGAGTTGTTTTTTATCACTTGGTAGTTGGTACGAAGGTGAGTTTCCTTCATCACCACCTTAAACATGACATTTCTTCACCTGGTTGGTACAATGTATTAAAGACATTTGAGGTTCTTCACCTGGTTGGTTGAATGAGGCAAGTTGCCACAATGATAAATTAAAGTACGAGTGTTTGTACATTTCACCTGGTTTGGTGGCACCAAAGAAAGTTGGTTTGGACATTTCATCACTGGAGATAGGTGCATGAGAAATTGTACATTTCACCTGGTTGTTGCAAGTGGTGTCCAAGTTTCAACAATAAGTATTGAATGATACGTTTGTACATTTCATCACCTAGTTGGTGGCATGAAGGAAAGTACGAGTTGTTAATGATTCATTACAGGTTTTACACTTATGCTCTGGTGTGCATGAATGATGAGTTCCTTCTTCACCCTACTGTTGGTGGCATGAGTAGGGCAAGTTGCCAAATGATATTAGAGTATACGAGTTGTACATTTCATCAGTTGGTGCATGAGAGTAGAGTACAGGTTGACATTTCACACTGGTTGGTGGCTCGAAGATGAGTTCCTTCTTCACACTGAGTGGCAAGTTGTGCCAAATAATATTAGAGTACGGTTGTACACATTCATCACCTGGTTTGGTGAAGTCATGAAGGACGTGGTTACATGAGTGATAGTACATTTTCACATCACCTGGTTGGTGTGCATGAAAGATGAGTTATTCTTCATTTTATCACTGGTTGGTGAGAATAAATGTGCAATTGACAAGTGTCGAACACATCATATGTTGAACCTTTCGAAGCACAGTTGGCTATGTATGGATATGTTAGAATGTATGTATGTTTATGTATGAATTATGTGTTGGAAATGATATGATGATGTTTATGTTTGATTGCGATATAGTGATGCTTATGAAATGTTGATATGTCATGAAGGGATCCATGTTTTTTATATGTGAACCATGTTGGTTATGTTGGAATGTATGATGTTTATGTTGATTGATATGAGTGATGTTTATGAATGTTTTGCTATGCATGAATGGATTCATGTTTTTGATATGTGAACCATGTTGGTTGTAACACTTAGTATCACATACTTTGTGTCAAAGTACACATGTTGAAGCTCTGAGTTGAAGTATAAGGGTAGGTCAGCGTAGACCAAGTGTTCCATTGCTAGGAACGCAAAAGACTCAGAAGAAGTTTTCTGAATTCCCTATTCTTTAAATATTTACCGAATGGCTTATTTGACAAAAGATCTCAAGCGGTTTAAGAGAACATTCAAAGTGTATGTCTTCTTTGTAATTATGCATTCTTTTCTCTATAATAGCATTTCCTTCAGTACCTAATTCCACTTTGAAAGAGTGAAGCTTGGACCCATAGTCATAAATTGTCGACGGTTTTCACCCTTGGTTGTCTCTGATACGAACTTTATCCCTCTGTTGTAATGGGCTTGCTGAGAGTAAAAATCATTCCTCTTACCAAAAGACATCACGTTTGGTGACTTTAGCGAGTAGCTAAATGAGGCAGAGATGATCAATGATTGTGAATGCAAGGTCTCCCTGAATCTGGCCAATATCTCCTCACTTGGTAGAACTTGGCTTCCCCTTCCCACTTGTCTTTCGATTGGGGTTAACCATATGGGGGTTCCCTTAGTATGTCTATAATTCCATTGCCTTCGGCAAAGGCGTGGTAGTAAGCCTATGCCATCGGAAACCTTCAGAGTAAGTAATCTTTCCAAGTGTGTTGGCATTGATTATGTACTTGAAGAAACAATCACATAGGCCTGCCGTGAAGGCCTTGAGGTCGGTCTTGTCATCTGCCTCAGCGTAGAGAGAATACTCATGCTGAAACGACCAGCATACTCTCGTTTTAGTGACTCGTCAAGTTTCTGGCGAAATGAGTGTCAGACAAGTCATCTGCAGAATGCAAGCGATCGATCTGGAAGATGTGTTTGAGAGACAGAAACAGTTTCCTGAGATGTTCTCAAATGCATTGGTCTACTGTCTCAGGTGGAAGACGGCAATACAATTATAGCTCCGCCAGAGATAGATGAGAAGGGAGAGAAAACATCGCTCTTTGTCGGTGTGCATGCCGATATGCATGGTGGAGTCAAAGAGGTTAAGGTGTTCAATTGGGTCTTTCTTTCCAGTAGAGAGTTGTAAACTAAGCTTTTGTTTTGTCTTTGCTTGAAATGGGGTGTCAATGATCTTTCTTGTGAGAGGGCCAGGCTTGGGTTGGTTTCAGTCCATAGTTCTCGGCCTTAACGTTTGGCCTTCAACTTGTTTACTTCCTCACACGTAGAGGAGTCTTCAGTGAATTTAGCTTGATAAGGATCAAAAGAATGTGAGGTCATTTTTCTTTCGGAGCATTAGTTCGCCTCTTGAAGTTAGGAGTTTGAGCAAAGGCATGTGGTTTTTTCTTGGACTCACCGTACTGACTTCTACGACTAGTCTGTTGTTCTTTCCCTAGATTGGCAGCTGGCCTGGGTCGTGGAAGGGGATCGAGACTTTCAGAAACCCTTGGGTCATTGATCTTCAAGCATATGTGGAGGGGATTCTCTCGACGTTGCTTTAGGAAGTCTCGGCAGTCATGATAAATGGCTTTTGATCATTCCAACCCTTCTGCAATGAGGTGTCTTCCTCCACTTATTCTGCTTCGAGTCGAAGCATCTGGGTTGAGAGAAGTCTCATGTTGATCAACGTTTTGATGATTAGCTCGCTCCTCAGCAGGGATACCCATGTCGAAGGGAGGTGACCCTCCGAGCTGGGGGGCACCCAGATGATGTTGATGTCCACAGGGGCAACGAGCTCGCGTGTTTGAGTACGCCTAGTTTGGTGGAGTGTCTCAAAGAGCTTCTCATACTGCTCCTGGAGGACCTCATTTTTCATTGCTATCTTGTTGTTCTGAGCTTCTAGCTCATCGACTTTAGCTTGAAGAGCAACCCTCTTTCCTTCCTTTTTTCGTTGCTTCGCACTAAGTGCAAGAGGTGTGTCATTCTGTATGTTGTGGCTTCCTTCGCTCCTCATGTTGGAAAGGGATGCCTGGTCAAAAGAGAGTGTACGAATGGTGGAAACCAGCTTAGCAAAGCTGAAGAGAATGGGAATAAGTGTCGTTTTTCCCAGACAGAACGGCGCCAAAATGTTGATGCACAACAAAATCAGTGAGTGACTAAACTCATTGGTAACAGTTACTAATCGTGAGATATATTAATGAACTAACATGAGAGATAATATCACAAACTAGAGTATTAGCTAAGTGGCGTCACTAATGTGGTTACATAGAGTATGACAAATGATACGTTTTAGACACGATGTAAAAGGTTGCAAACCAAAAGATGGTAACTCAACGATGGTTGTTCACCCAGATTGGCTACATCACGGGTAGAGAGCTTTCATTAATTGTGAAGGGGTTACACAACAGTATCTACTTAATTCTCCTTTCAAGCTCTATCCTTTAGTTGGTACTAGTGAACAATGATTGATTTAATACGGAGGACATTAGGAAAATATTGTAAGAGAATGATTCTATTTATAGAGCAAGGATTCTAGTTTATATTCTGACATTGACACGTGTCATTATATTGGCTTTGGATGTTGACACGTGTCGTGCTTATGATGTCCTAAATCTCTGGTTTGGTCGGTAAACGTTGACCGGTGCTCAGTAGTTTCGGGATTGATCTAGTATGGTACAAACAGTATATAATGACAAAAATTGACATGATAGTGTGGGTGATGATAACAACGACAACGGTGGCGAAAGCAATGGTTGTGATGGTGGTGGTGGCGGTGGCGATGCCAATAAAGGGGTGTGGAAGTTGGGTCGTAGTGGTAACAGTGGTAGGGGTGGCGGTGCCAATAAAGGGGTGTGGAAGTTGGGTCATAGTGGTAACAATGGTGGTAGGGGTGGCGACAACGACGATGGTGGCAATTGTGGTGGCAATGGTGGTGGTTGTGTATATGGTGGTGATGAAGGCGATGACAGTAACGATGGTAGTGGCAGTTGTGATTTTGGTGATAGTGGTGGTGGTTGTAGTGGTGGTGATGGTGGCGCCATTATGTAGTGATGGTGGCAACAATGTGGTGGTAATGGCAATGTTGGTGTAAGAGGTTAGGGTTTGTAGTGGTAAATGGTGGTAGTCACTTTGTTCTTTAAAAATAAAATATGTCTAGAAGGATAAATAAAGTTATTTTTTAAAATTAATGAGCATGTTACATAAATTCAAAATATTCATTAAAGGCTCCACTCCGTTTAGTACCTACCTCATAGATTAGTTAACACAGTTAACCTACGATAGAGGTACAAGAAAAAATTGAGCATGAATTAGTACCAGTAAAAAGGAGAAATAATATTTAATTTTTATTTTCAATCCTAAAATTAAGTAAACGATAAACATATAAGCAGGGGATGACATTTATCACCATTTAACAAAAAAGATAATAAAAATAAAGGTGTGAATAATCAGTGAATAGACATAACCCAAAAAAGTGGACTAAACCCATTAACACTCACAAAATTGGACTTATATAAAGTTTATTTTAGTATTAGTTTTTGGATAATGCTAGGGAGACCATTAGACCAAATTCGGTAAACCAAATGATGTGCGGCTTTTAAAAAGCTATTGTCTAGAAACCATTGCTTTTAAAATAAGCATGATATTTTATTTTTACTAAACACTTTTTTACTGTTTAACTATAAAGTGAAACAGTTTTTGATAAATAAAAAAACACTACCAAACTGGACCTAAGTATTGATCCTTATTTTATTTGAATAACTATCTATTTTTCTTTTTTGGATTTTTGACACCGTATTCTAAAACTACTATTTTCACTCAAATTATCCAAAGATGAATTAAGACACTGCCTAACTCTTTACATGCAAAATTATTCTTTTCCTAAAAATACTCTTGAGAATGAACGGATTCAATTATGAAGCTTGTCTTAGGTTGTCTTTGAAGAAAGAACAACTACTTGTTGACATTTAGTACTAAGGTTTAGTGGTATTCCTCTTCATTTGTAAGTGAGAGGTCTTATATTCGATTTTCGCTGAAGGCAAATTTGAACCACATTATTGCATGAGGCTAAGCCTACTCCCTCCCCCCACTAAGATAATAACATTTGTTCAAAAAAATAAAAAACAAATACTTTGCATGTGAGGGGTGGAGTATTGTCCCACTCTATGGTGAGGCAGGGTGCGAAGACAATGGAACGACGGCCACCAAGGAGGACGTCTACGTCGGCAATAGCTAGCAACCAGTCAGAGGTCGGAGACTCGGAGAAACCAATAAGGAACAGAAGTGGAGGAACACGAATTGTATTTTTTAATTTTTCAGATATCAGTGTTTTTAATAACACTTTGAAAGTTGCGGCTAAGATGTTGGTGGTTATGTCTCTTAGCTCTCAAAATTTTTCTCCTTTAGCCGCCCACTTGATTTTTTCTCTTTGTCCTTTCATTTGATAATAATGTTAATTACTTTTTTAATTGTGTTTGTGAAGTGTTGTTCTCCAACATCCTTTTACTTCTTCAACGACATTGCATGACTGCCGTATGTTAACAAAATAATTTTTGTTAGTGTCCGTCCAGACTTTCCCGTTCTGTTTGTAGAGGGTATATTTTCCCCGCCTGCTTTGTTGTAAAGATTTGATCGTTGCATTCTCTTTGTTTGTTTCATATGCATCTGTTCCTTGGACTGTAAGTCAATTTAGTGCTCATGAACTGTATATCTGTTTTTTTCCAAAAAATTGCTAACTCAAACCCATAAATTGTTTCTCTTGCAGCTTTGATCTTATCGTACAAGTTGCCCAAGTTGATTGTGTTGCGTAAAACAAAGCAACTCAACTTTCGGAATTGGTGTTGCTTGTCAAATATAGCAAGTTAACTGTAAGAAATGGCGGAAGATGAAGATGTAATCAAGAAGCAGGTCACGGCAACATCCAAAGGCCACTCAGCGGTGGAGGATTCCCAAAACAGCAAGAAAGATACGAGCAAGAACAAGGAGGATGGCACCAAAACAGTACCATTTCACAAGCTTTTCTCCTTTGCAGATACCTTGGATTACATGTTAATGTCTGTTGGTACAATCAGTGCCATTGGAAATGGGCTCTGTACGCCTCTAATGACCATAATCTTGGGAGAGGTGATTAATTCTTTTGGAGGAACTGGGAATACCAAAGAAGTGGTGGATGCAGTCTCCAAGGTAATTGTTGTGTGACTAGACAATAGCACAGCAGCAAACTAAAGATAAAAATTCTCTGATCCGGTTCCCATCAGAATTGTGTCAACTGTACTCTCAACTTCCATTTTTGAACTTACTTTTTCGATTCTCTAGTATCTGTAGTTTGGTTGCTTAAAAGGATCATCTCCCTCCAAATAAGTTCTGCATTAAGCAACTCTCATAATTGAAACGTTGAATCATTAATAATTTGTCCAATTCGATCCTCAGGTGGCTGTAAAGTATGTTTACTTGGCTCTAGGTGCTGGTGTTGCTGCTTTTCTACGTAAGTTTTACTGAACTCCCCGCTGGTATTAAAGAAAGAACTTGGCTTATCGGAGATAACCAGGGTTTTCTATGTGCCAGAGGTATCTTGCTGGATGATTACGGGTGAAAGACAAGCTGCACGAATAAGGAGTTTATACTTGAAAACGATATTGAGGCAAGATGTCGGCTTCTTCGATACAGAAACGAACACTGGGGAAATTGTTGGGAGGATGTCGGGTGATACTGTGCTCATTCAAGACGCCATGGGCGAGAAGGTATTTACATGCCACATAAAACCCTCAAGTTTTTGCCATTCTCTTGTAACCTATTAACTTTTATTTTTATTTTTCCTTTTCTTCTGTCAGGTAGGAACTGTTATTCAGTTAATTGCAACATTTATGGGAGGCTTTGTTATAGCATTTATTAAGGGATGGCTTCTCGCCCTTGTCATGCTATCTTCTATTCCCCTTCTTGTCCTCGCTGGTGCGGTCGTGAGCATCCTTACATCGAAGTTGGTAACCCGTGGACAAGCTGCTTATTCAGTGGCAGCAACTGTGGTGGAGCAGACAATTAGTTCAATTAGAACTGTACGCCTACTTGTCCCTAAAATGAATAAAAATGTCTTCGATAAAACTAAAACTGATGGGAGTTCGTAATGCAGGTTGCATCATTTTCAGGAGAAAAACAAGCTATAGACAATTACAACTCCTCCTTAACTGAAGCTTACAATTCTTCTGTGCAAGAAGGTTTGGCATCGGGTTTTGGATTTGGCTTCGTTATGCTTATTATGATGTCTAGTTATGCTTTGGCTATATGGTTTGGCGGAAAGATGATTCTTGAAAGAGGATATACAGGAGGAGAAGTAATAAATGTACTTTTCGCTGTATTGACTGGCTCCATGTAAGTTTCAGTTCAATAGAATTTGATGAATATCGTTGGTAATATATCCGTGTTTAATTTTACGTGCACTGCAAGAATGCAACTTTTATTTACTACACCCCAAAATTAAATATTTGATGCTTAAGTATCAAGATATGAACATGTCTATGTATCTGCAGGGCTCTTGGGCACACATCCCCATGCGTGAGTGCATTTGCTGCTGGACAAGCTGCAGCTTATAAGATGTTTGAGACAATTAACAGAAAGCCGGAGATAGATTCTTATGAAACTAATGGACAGCAGTGCCAAGACATCCATGGAGACATAGAACTGAGGGATGTATATTTTAGCTATCCTGCAAGACCGGAGGAAAAAATATTCCGTGGATTTTCTCTCTCAATACCTAGAGGTGCAACTGCTGCTTTGGTTGGAGAGAGCGGAAGTGGCAAATCAACTGTAATCAGTTTGATTGAGATTTTATGATCCCCAATCTGGGGAAGTTGTTATTGATGGTATTAATCTCAAAGATTACCAGCTCAAATGGATCCGACAGAAAATAGGTCTTGTCAGCCAGGAACCTATTTTGTTTACTTGTAGCATAAGAGATAACATTGCCTATGGGAAGGATGGTGCAACTACAGAAGAAATAAGGGTCGCTGCAGAGCTTGCCAATGCTGCTAAATTCATAGACAAATTGCCTCAGGTTAAATTCTCTATTTTGCTTTGAAAGTTTTCAATGAATTTTTTCTAAACGATGAAAGCTTGTTGAGCCATCAGTGATCTTACACATTTTTATTTTCCTCTATTGGTTTTGTAATTAGGGACTAGGCACGATGGTTGGTGAGCATGGGACTCAGCTATCCGGGGGCCAAAAGCAGAGAGTAGCCATAGCTAGAGCAATCTTGAAAGACCCAAGAATTCTACTTTTAGATGAAGCCACGAGCGCTCTTGATGCAGAATCTGAGAGGGTTGTGCAGGAGGCATTAGATAGAATTATGATTAACCGCACTACTGTCATTGTAGCCCACCGTTTGAGCACAGTAAGGAATGCTGACACCATTGCTGTTATACAAAGAGGGACAATCGTTGAAAAAGGTAATGTATTTGTTCATTGGTGTGACAGTTGTTACGCTTTATCATTATTCATTAATTACCTCACATACCCATGTTTTTAAACTGAGCAGGTCCACATTCTGAGCTAGTTAAGGACCCTGGAGGAGCATATAGCCAGCTTATAAGGTTGCAAGAAATGAGCAGTGCTTCAGAACAGACTGATGTGAATGATCAAGAAAGGCGTAGTAGTGTGGAATTGGATTCCCAGAATAGCAGCCATCATTCCCTCTCAATCTCATATGATGTGGCCCCTGCACTAGGTTTCCTTGAAGTAGCACCTAAAGAATCCGATATTCCTGCTTCAGAATCATCAGTAGTACCTCCAGAAGTCTCACTTCGCCGCCTTGCTTACCTGAACAAGCCAGAGATCCCAGTTTTAATTTTTGCTACTATAGCTGCAATAGCCAATGGGTTAATCTTTCCTTTTTTTGGGCTATTGATTGCTAGTGTAGTCAAGACCTTCTTTGAGCCGCCACATCTACTCCTCAACAATTCTAAGTTTTGGGCATTAATTGCCATTGTTCTTGGAGTGGGGTCTTGCATAACACTTCCATCAAGACAATACCTTTTTGCTGTGGTGGGAAGTAGGTTAA